TCCTATAGTACACATTGGAATGATTTCTTACTTTATTTTTTACAACTAGGCTATATTAAATAGATAAAGGTGTGCTCTCTCTAGCTCTCTCGCTCTTTCTCTCTCTCTCTCTGTCTCGCTCGCTCACAGACGCTGTGTGTTCCTCCGTGGTGATGACGGCTTGCGTTAAAAAAATAAAATAAATATAGGCTATTTGTAAAGTGGGGGAAACAGGATTTCGAAAAGTGGGGGGGACATGTCCCCCCTGTCCCCAGTGGCAATTATGCGTGTGTGTGCGTCAAGTGCAATAAATATATATGCAGGGTTGGGAGGGTTACTTTGTAAATGTAATCAGATACTGATTACTGATTACATGGCTTTGAAAGTAATCCGAATACAGTTACAGTTACGTGTCTTAACGGGCGTGTCGCCTTCTGTCCTGCCAGTGTTGGCAGGACATGAATTAAAATGTCGAGCTCGGACTTCATTTTAAGGCAACCCTGTCTCCTAAAAATTACATTCCCACAGAACTAAACTGCATTCTCAATTACGTTTAGCTAGAAACGTATTTTCTCCCACGTTACGTTTGTTATGAACGTATCTTAAATACGTTTATTTTCTACATATCTTCTAGAAACATATTTTCTCCCACATTACGTTTGTTATAAACGTATCTTAAATACGTTTATTTTCTACATATCTTTGCCATTTATTGTCTTGCTTATAATAATGATAATAGTCATTTATAAATATCATTTTAGAGCACACATTTGAAATCGAGAATCGGGCTCGATATATGGTTAAATTAAAATCAGTAGGTGAGGCTGTAATTTCTCCAGCTGTTACTCTCATGAGCGAGGCAGAAAATAATAATTTTAACATTCCAAAAAGCTGCTGTGTCGTTTATTGCACCTCAAACATTAAAACAAATCCAGAGTTACGTGTTTCTGTACTTCCTCTGAAAGGACAGTAAAAGAAGAGCTCTGTGGCTTCAGGCTTGATCGCCGTTCAAATGACAGCGTTGGTTTCCCCAAAAGTGGGCGGGGCTGTAAAGTGACGGTGTGGCAGTGCGCCAAGGTTACGCCGAGCGTCAAGCTCTTTGAAATGGAACGAAACCACGGAAGACTATCCAAAACTGGACTCGAACGCCCCCCCAGAACTACACATGCTGGCTATTGTGTTTCGCAACATGTTCTATGGCACGTCTCTACTGGGAATTGTAGTTTTAAAAGACGTTTTCGTTTTTCCCAAAATTAGAAGTTGACAGTATTAAACTGTGTACAGCCCTGGAGGTTTAGGCGATATGAAACAAATTGGTGTGTACAAATGTAAAACATGTAAGTACTGAATGGGTGAAAATCGCTTGTATCCATAATGGGCAGCATTAATATATACCCACATGACAGCTCATTGTTACTTTGTAATTCTACTCCACTACAATTCAGAGGTTAACCTGGTGATTTTAATCCACTACATGTATTTTAGTTACTTTGCAGATTCTGATTAATGATGTGAAATGTAAACAACCCTTAAATCAGACTTTAGTTACACCTGAGTCAAATTCAGGGAAGGTGATTGTCAAGTGCCAACAATCAGGAGAGATATTTGTTGGTGCTTGAGAAGACTAAACATTTATCTGCAGATCTCTATAAAGCATATTCATTACTCGTTATTCTCTACTAATAGTTAATTAAAAACTGTATATAATGGCTATTTTGCATATCCCTTTCAAGATTTCAAGATTTTCTAAGGTTTATTGACATATCATATACACAACTACGGTGTAGTTATGCAATGAATGAAAAACTTGGGTCACAGGTTCCTCAACAGTGCATTACAAGACATCTATCAATATGTGTGTATACTGTACCTCCACCATTAAACTGTCAAATTCTGCACATTTCTTATACTATCTACATACATAAGAGTATAATTAATGTGTATAATATCAGTTAAAATAAGTGCTTCAACATAGTTAACATTGCAGGAAAGCAATATATTAGACGTTAAGTACTTTGTCAGGCTTAATATTTATCTGTAGATACCCCCAAAGCTTTTTTCTTATTTGAAAGAAGACCTTAACCTAAAGTATTATTTAATGTGTTAATAAAGGTTAATTCGTTTGTCTGTTTTGCACATCCTCATATTAATATCTTTATACATCCGGCACTAAACTGTTTTATTGTAAAGATCACTTACAGTATCTTCTTGATTTTTTATATTCTATATTTCTATCATTGACCTTCTACTTTCACCCTATGAAAGTATGTACTCTTAATATTTTTTTCATCAAATCACATTATTCAACAAAAATAATTCAATAACGTGCTTTAACCACTAGGCGGTGCACACAAGGTACACACAGCATACTAATAATAACTTTGTATTATTAGTGTAGGACACTTATGTATGTATAACATCTGAAGATGTGTAGTTTTATTCATGTTTTCACATAATTTTACAGGATATTGCTATATTATTTCACATGTTTTACTTCTACACATTAATATCTGATTTGTAAAACATCACAGACAGAAAGGTATATCCGTCATTTAACAGTAAGCTATTGAAATTGTGATTCCATAGATGTGTCTCCCATCACCCAAATCCCCTGACTATTCTCTCAACTCAGTATTTACATTCTTATATTCAAAGAAAATCAGTAATATCTTTAAAAACTACAAGTCCCTGTCTATCAGCTGTGCACCGTTATGGTGTAAATACAACCTATCTACCAATTGGATCAAATATAAAAGTCAGCCGAATTACTATTGATACTGCAAGGAGACGTATTGTGTGAAAAGAAATGTAAGATGTTGTTTAATTGCTGATATATTTATGATTCACATCACATATTCAGTTTCGGCGGCACTTCTTCCTGTTTGTCTAGAAGTCTTCTCATCAGGGCTCTATAAATAAAGAACTACGGCAAATGTGTAATATTTAATGCAGCCGAACCATGTATTACAATGCCGTTATGTGATGACTTCCAAAGAGAAAAGCAAGAACACTCGGAATAAAGTATTATTATTTTTTTTTTAAATGTTTTCGGATTTCATATCGCATAAACACCATCTCCCAACGTGCATTGCGGCTAAAACATCCAATTATCGAGCTTCAAGCTCAGGATCTTGGGTAATCAGTTCAGTGGGCTTGTGGTGTGTATCGCTCGAAATGTCCTTTATAGGCCTACGTCTGTTTCCAGTGACTTTATTTACGGCTAAAAAGCATGCTAAGAAGCCCAAGATTATAGAATTAAACGAATAAATAAAAACAAGGATAATTGTGTGTTATTGTTGAGTAAATAACAGTGTGTTATTTAGAAAAGAATAACAAATTAGAAGGAAAAAAAGATTTTCAAAAATACAGATTTCAGTATTTTGAGGCTCGAAGCCCCATTTCTTTTCGTCACAGACGGCAAAAAAATGAGACATTATATGATTTAAAATAAAAACAAAAAAATAAAAAGATAAAACACTGGCATGTAATTTACGTTAGAATAAATAGAATGGTTTTGAATAATAGATGAGAGTAAAATCTACGTCACTTTACAGCTCCGCCCACTTTTGGGGAAACCAACGCTGTCATTTGAACGGCGATCAAGCCTGAAGCCACAGAGCTCTTGATGGAGCTAATTTCCCGCCATAACTCCACAAACAAACTAAACAGGTTTTACAAATGCCTCATGATTCACTAACAAACACAATGTGGTTTGCAAATACAAAACACCATCTACAAACTAATGCATTTAGTTTTGCAAAGAAAAAACGTATCTATCAAATAAACACATACCATTTTTCTAATAAATCATGTTTCAGAGACAAATTCAGCATAGGTTTTTACAAGTACACAACTTTTTTTTACAACTACAAAACTTTTTCTTCTCACGGCGGAATATTACTGCCAAAAGTCACGTGACTCACTCACGTGACTTTTGGCAGTAATATTCCGCCGTGGTTGTGCTCATACACACTCACACATGCTCACTCTAAAGACTTTCCAAGGGGTAAAAATGCTGCTGCTGGAGTACTGACTGGAAGTATTGCTGATATCATGTCAACCATCCTCTTAAAGTACCAACAATATCAGTCTCATAAGAAAGGTGTTTTAACGCTTATTCAAAATAGCAGAGAAACATGCATTATTGTACTCAGGAGGGGACATTCAAAAAGTACACAGTAAAAGTACTTCATAGTACTTGTGGGAGTAGTTTCACTAGTACTGAGTCCAACAGTGTCAATCTCACGAAGAACTAATGGCAACAAATATTTTTTTCCCTCATCAAACTTAGCAGAAGTGGCTTGATTTTGTTCTCAGGAGGGAACTTTGACAGAGTATTTCTCAAAATATACACAGTAAAAGTTCTTCAATGTATTGTTAGTAGTAGGCTTACTAATACAAAGTCAAACCGTATCAATTTCATTAGGAACTAATGGTAACATTTTATTTTTATCATTCATCAAAGATAGCAGAAAACATGCATTATGTACTATGGAGGGGAATCTGACAGAGGATTACTCACAAAGTACACAGTAAAGTACTTCCTTTTATTTCTGGTAGCAGTCAACTAGTACCGAGTCCAACAGTATCAGTTTTATTCAGAACGTATGGTAACAAATATTTGTATCACTCATTGAATATAGCAGGAAAGAAAATGAAGAGCAGCTGATTGACCGAGTGCAGAATCGCTGTATAGTTTAAATCTCCTTAGTTACAATGTTGTCCATTTTAGACAAAGGCTTATTATATCTACAGCCCTAAGAACATTCATTTTCTGGGCTCAATATGTGTCTTGGCTGTTTTCGTTGTGATCGCTAAATTCAGATCGCTGGATCGCTAGAAACACCACTGTCATCAGGCTGGCAAGGGCTGTTCCATGCTCTGCTCAACCTCCCGCCTTCCCAATGGACTCAGTAGCGCCCCCTGCTGCCGTGGAGCATGTGTGAGTGAGCATGTGTGAGCATAGATATATATAAACACGCTCATGGGAGATTTTCCAGTGTAGCTCACTGGCCGCCATCTTGCTATAGTCAACAGCTACTCTGGTACGCGCTATGGTAGCTGTTGTAAGGTGAGTGATCTGCACAAAAATACTCTTAACTCGCTGAAATCTTGACTGATTTACAAACGATTTGGTTTATTATAAACATTATTAGCATGGCTATGATACAGGATGCTTGGACATGTTGAAATTGCAGCTTTTCTTTGTGTATGTGAGGTTGTATTTATTAGCTGGCTAATAACAAGAGGCTGTGAGTGAGACATGGGGTGTTTCTCAATCGCGAGTACGCTTGCTTGGTAGCACATGTCTGCCGAGCATCTTGCTTCAGAAGCGAGTCAAGAATACTTCCTGGCATTCGGAAAACGAAGTGTGGAACACGCTAGCAAGTGTGCAGGTGTGCGTCATATGAGAGGCCCCGCCTTACATCTTCCGCCACAGATTTGGGGAAATTGGTCCGTGCGCAAAGCATTGTGGGGATTTTAAGACCGCGAAGTCTACTCATGTGTAGCCTCGATATTTCTCCAAACGGAGTACGCCGGGCTCGGTAGATTTCCAAGTATACTGGAGATTGGAACAGTACTTCGGCGGCACTCGATGACGTAGTATGCTTGAAATAGTGGCTCTGCAGCAGCTTTACTCGCGATTGAGAAACACCCCTAGTATTACAAAGTTGACCCAGCAACTTTACACCAGTGGGAGAGGCAGAACTGCTCTTTCTTTTCAACATAACTTAAGTTACACATGATTTCTTCCAAGTGGTTTGGCTTGTTAAAAACATCTTACATTTAGATACATTATGATACAGGAAATTGCTGGCTTTGTTTACAGAAGTACCTGACTATGCCGGACTTTTGTGCAGCCTACAGATGCTCTAATCACCGCAGTCTGGAAACAAGAACCCGTGGAATCACCTTTCACGTGTAAGATAGGACAATATTATGACTATAATTAGGATAATCGTTAATTACTTAGTGGATGTATGTACATTACAAGTCCTGCTACACAGGATCAGTGGGGCTATGTGAGATAATAGTATTGCAAGATTGTTGTTGACCCAGCCTCTTTAGAATATGTTGCTACCATTTCTTTACACAATTATTTAATGTTTCTTTTGGACACCTTTTTTATAACTCTTAGTGTGGTTGTCTTATTCTTAAAGTATACATACATACATACAATTACCCCAAAAATATGATAATTTCGGTGTGTATTTTTGTCCTTACCCTTAATGTTAAAGGAAAGAAGGGAGGAAAATGTTGACAATAATTGATATATCTGGCTACCTTTCTCATGTTTTTAAGGTTTCCCAAAACCGGAGAGAGGAGGAGGCAGTGGGAAGTTGCCCTAAGAAGGCAGGACACTGCTCTGCAATGATCACTTCAGTTGTGAGGACTTTGACATGACTCACACATGCTCCACGGCAGCAGGGGGCGCTACTGAGTCCATTGGGAAGGCGGGAGGTTGAGCAGAGCATGGAACAGCCCTTGCCAGCCTGATGACAGCGGTGTTTCTAGCAATCCAGCGATCTGAATTTAGCGATCACAACGAAAACAGCCAAGACACATATTGAGCCCAGAAAATGAATGTTCTTAGGGCTGTAAATATAATAAGCCTTTGTCTAAAATGGACAACATTGTAACTAAGGAGATTTAAACTATACAGCGATTCTGCACTCGGTCAATCAGCTGCTCTTCATTTTCTTTCCTGCTATATTCAATGAGTGATACAAATATTTGTTACCATACGTTCTGAATAAAACTGATACTGTTGGACTCGGTACTAGTTGACTGCTACCAGAAATAAAAGGAAGTACTTTACTGTGTACTTTGTGAGTAATCCTCTGTCAGAGTCCCCTCCATAGTACATAATGCATGTTTTCTGCTATCTTTGATGAATGATAAAAATAAAATGTTACCATTAGTTCTTAATGAAATTGATACGGTTTGACTTTGTATTAGTAAGCCTACTACTAACAATACATTGAAGTACTTTTACTGTGTATTTTTTGAGAAATACTCTGTCAAAGTCCCCTCCTGAGAACAAAATCAAGCCACTTCTGCTAAGTTTGATGAGGGAATTCTTTTTTGTTGCCATTAGTTCTTCGTGAGATTGATCCTGTTGGACTCAGTACTACTGAAACTACCCCCACAAGTACTATGAAGTACTTATTGTGTACTTTTCCAGTAATCCTCTGTCAATGTCCCCTCCTGAGTACAATAATGCATGTTTTTCTTTTAATAAGCGTTAAAAAACATTTCTTCCTGAGACTGATATTGTTGGACAGAGTATTTTAAGAGGATGGTAGACATGATATCAGCAATACTTCCAGTCAGTACTCCAGCAGCAGCATTTTCACACCTTGGAAAGTCTTTAGAGACTGGCCTGGATAGCTGGTCACAAATATCCTTCAGCAAAGTAACACACTCTGTCACTCTGGTTGCCCTCTTATGATGCTGCTGTCTTTTAATATATAATTATTCCTCTGCCGCTAGTTCGTTCCTCGCAGATTCTTCAGTCTCATCAGCCTCATCCTTCCATCAGTCCCAGTTAACGCCTCCAGCACACTTCCAGTGTCTGACTCCATATGATATTGTCCTGATGCTGTAAGGGTGATGCCCCATGATCACAAAATGACCCCTCTAAAGTCTGAGTGCCAAGGACCTCATATTATGTCTGTCATTAATGTTACATCACCCATTATAACAGTTTTCTTTCCTTTTTTCTCTTCTCTTAACTGAATAGTCCTGTCTTTAAGTATAATACAATGTAAAGTCCTTTTCCTGCACCATTTTAAGGCTTCATAACAGGCATGTTTACTGTATGTGTTTGGTGAAATAACACAATCAATGGCCCAGAATTGTACTTTATAAACTATGAATCTTGTGGTGCTTGAAGAAATAAAGACAGGTTAAGCCGGCCAGGTTATATATATATATATATTAGGGCTGTCAAGTTAACGCGTTAATAACGCGTTAACGCAAAAAAAAATTAACGCCACTAATTATTTTAACGCGATTAACGCATGTGTATTTTTTTTCCTCGGCCGCCGTAGTTTCAGAGCGCATCGAGTTTAAAATACCATCTACAAGCTGATGCTGACAGCCCCGCTCCTGCTGCCCGCTTGTGGCAGACCACACTTCCACGCTCACCGGCAGGCCCGGACTGGCCATCGGGAGGACCGGGAGGGTGTGTGTATGTGTGGCGCGAGCGAAGCACACCTTACGTGTTGTTGTTAGCATCTGGTGCTAGCTAGCTGAGCTAACGGATATAAGGAGCTGTTTCAATGAAAACAGAGGAGCGACATTTTGCCGACAACTGCGCCGAGCACTTGACTTTATGCAGCTAGCCATACAGCACACTCAGCACGGATAGTGCCGCAACACAGCTCATACACACAGGCATATATGCCTTGAGCTGCACATAGCTCCAACGATCCTCCACATTCACACACACACACACACACACACACACACACACACACACACACACACACACACACACACACACACACACACACACACACACACACACACACACACACACACACACACACACACACACACACACACACACACACACACACACACACAGTATTGTATGAGAGAGGTTCTAGGTTGAATTGAGGCGAATATTTGTAATGTTCAGAGGTTGTTGTGTTTACTATTCATGAGAATATTTGTCATTGTTCAAATGATAATAAACAAACATATAAAGCATAGTTGTCCACTCATATGTTGATAAGAGTATTAAAAACTTGAAAAATATCCCTCTAAGGTACATTTAGAACCGATAAAAAATGTGCGATTAATTTGCGATTAATCGCGATTAACTATGGACAATCATGCGATTAATCGCGATTAAATATTTGAATCGACTGACAGCCCTAATATATATATATATATGCCTTTTTTGGAACCATTTTTTTCAATATTTATTAAAATGTCACTAGTTATTTAAACAAACCACTATCTGAGGATAATACAAGCAACCATAAAACACCCTTTATCTAGAGAGCCATTGAAGCCCATGAAGAATTTATCCTTCCACAAATCTTTTCAACTGCTGTATTAATAAAGTTGCCACGTGTTTTCAAATTCAAGTTAAGGAACTATCTGTGTAAAACATTACAAATATTCTTCATTTGCAGTATTTTAAAAATGTTCAGAAAGACTGCATCAATTATATGCTATATATATTATATATAAATATATATATATATATATATATAATATCAATATTGTTATTAACTTAACAAAAATGGGATAATTGCCATGGAAGTGGTGTTTGATATAGTTTACGTTCAATTTTAACTATTTTAGGCAGAAAAACGTATATTGACGAAACCTTTTTTAATAATTTACTATAATTTAGAAAGGTTTTTGTGAGAAATCATTTCAAAAGTAAACTTATTTTTCATTTTATATTTCAATTTGAAATGTTTGCACACAACATTATTAATTTATACATTTTTATAAACATTTTAAATTATGAATCCATTAATTTTATTGTATTTCCTTGAGGCTGGGGAAGATATCCAGCATGTGGTTCAACATGTAATACAAGTAAGTATATGTACAACATGGAAAAGTAAATCAAATAAGTTTAATAGGAGGATGTGGATTTATTTTCTCTCACCTTGTAATTACACAATCAAACAATCTATAATTTAGCTCTGACCTTCACAAAAACATTTTGTTGAATTGGACACATTTTTCCAAGCTCTATTGACTGACATGCAATGACTGGGACTGATGGAAGAATCTGAGAGGAATTAACTAGCAGCAGAGAAATAATCATATTTAAAAGACAGCAGCCCCATAAGAGGCCAACAAGAGTCACAAGGGTTTGTCACTTTGCTGAAGGATATTTGTGACCAGCTATCCAGGCCAGACTCTAAAGACTTTCCAAGGGGTAAAAATGCTGCTGCTGGAGTACTGACTGGAAGTATTGCTGATATCATGTCAACCATCCTCTTAAAGTACTCTGTCCAACAATATCAGTCTCATAAGAAAGGTGTTTTAACGCTTATTCAAAATAGCAGAGAAACATGCATTATTGTACTCAGGAGGGGACATTCAAAAAGTACACAGTAAAAGTACTTCATAGTACTTGTGGGAGTAGTTTCACTAGTACTGAGTCCAACAGTGTCAATCTCACGAAGAACTAATGGCAACAAATATGTTTTTCCCTCATCAAACTTAGCAGAAGTGGCTTGATTTTGTTCTCAGGAGGGGACTTTGATAGAGTATTTCTCAAAATATACACAGTAAAAGTTCTTCAATGTATTGTTAGTAGTAGGCTTACTAATACAAAGTCAAACCGTATCAATTTCATTAAGAACTAATGGTAACATTTTATTTTTATCATTCATCAAAGATAGCAGAAAACATGCATTATGTACTATGGAGGGGACTCTGACAGAGGATTACTCACAAAGTACACAGTAAAGTACTTCCTTTTATTTCTGGTAGCAGTCAACTAGTACCGAGTCCAACAGTATCAGTTTTATTCAGAACGTATGGTAACAAATATTTGTATCACTCATTGAATATAGCAGGAAAGAAAATGAAGAGCAGCTGATTGACCGAGTGCAGAATCGCTGTATAGTTTAAATCTCCTTAGTTACAATGTTGTCCATTTTAGACAAAGGCTTATTATATCTACAGCCCTAAGAACATTCATTTTCTGGGCTCAATATGTGTCTTGGCTGTTTTCGTTGTGATCGCTAAATTCAGATCGCTGGATCGCTAGAAACACCACTGTCATCAGGCTGGCAAGGGCTGTTCCATGCTCTGCTCAACCTCCCGCCTTCCCAATGGACTCAGTAGCGCCCCCTGCTGCCGTGGAGCATGTGTGAGTGAGCATGTGTGAGCATAGATATATATAAACACTAGATGGCTCATGGGAGATTTTCCAGTGTAGCTCACTGGCCGCCATCTTGCTATAGTCAACAGCTACTCTGGTACGCGCTATGGTAGCTGTTGTAAGGTGAGTGATCTGCACAAAAATACTCTTAACTCGCTGAAATCTTGACTGATTTACAAACGATTTGGTTTATTATAAACATTATTAGCATGGCTATGATACAGGATGCTTGGACATGTTGAAATTGCAGCTTTTCTTTGTGTATGTGTGGTTGTATTTATTAGCTGGCTAATAACAAGAGGCTGTGAGTGAGACATGGGGTGTTTCTCAATCGCGAGTACGCTTGCTTGGTAGCACATGTTTGCCGAGCATCTTGCTTCAGAAGCGAGTCAAGAATACTTCCTGGCATTCGGAAAACGAAGTGTGGAACACGCTAGCAAGTGTGCAGGTGTGCGTCATATGAGAGGCCCCGCCTTACATCTTCCGCCACAGATTTGGGGAAATTGGTCCGTGCGCAAAGCATTGTGGGGATTTTAAGACCGCGAAGTCTACTCATGTGTAGCCTCGATATTTCTCCAAACGGAGTACGCCGGGCTCGGTAGATTTCCAAGTATACTGGAGATTGGAACAGTACTTCGGCGGCACTCGATGACGTAGTATGCTTGAAATAGTGGCTCTGAAGCAGCTTTACTCGCGATTGAGAAACACCCCTAGTATTACAAAGTTGACCCAGCAACTTTACACCAGTGGGAGAGGCAGAACTGCTCTTTCTTTTCAACATAACTTAAGTTACACATGATTTCTTCCAAGTGGTTTGGCTTGTTAAAAACATCTTACATTTAGATACATTATGATACAGGAAATTGCTGGCTTTGTTTACAGAAGTACCTGACTATGCCAGACTTTTGTGCAGCCTACAGATGCTCTAATCACCGCAGTCTGGAAACAAGAACCCGTGGAATCACCTTTCACGTGTAAGATATGACAATATTATGACTATAATTAGGATAATCGTTAATTACTTAGTGGATGTATGTACATTACAAGTCCTGCTACACAGGATCAGTGGGGCTATGTGAGATAATAGTATTGCAAGATTGTTGTTGACCCAGCCTCTTTAGAATATGTTGCTACCATTTCTTTACACAATTATTTAATGTTTCTTTTGGACACCTTTTTTATAACTCTTAGTGTGGTTGTCTTATTCTTGAAGTATACATACATACATACAATTACCCCAAAAATATGATAATTTCGGTGTGTATTTTTGTCCTTACCCTTAATGTTAAAGGAAAGAAGGGAGGAAAATGTTGACAATAATTGATATATCTGGCTACCTTTCTCATGTTTTTAAGGTTTCCCAAAACCGGAGAGAGGAGGAGGCAGTGGGAAGCTGCCCTAAGAAGGCAGGACACTGCTCTGCAATGATCACTTCAGTTGTGAGGACTTTGACAGGACGGGGCAGACTGTCCGGCTTAAAGATGGTGTTGTGCCAACAGTATTCAACTTCCCAGCTCATCTTCAAAGGGTATGTGTATCATTGGCCAACAAGAATTCAAGGTGTATAAGATTGATATATAAATATGTGATTAAATGTCACACTTTAGTTTTTCTTTCTGCAAGTTTAGGAATAAATAATGTGTTGTGTATTACAGCACATTTTAAACACTCAAAATGTCTTTAATTATGTTTATTTTAGCCGGAAGCAACAAGAAGCACAACCACTTCTAGAAGAGCGGAAGATGAACCTCAGCCTAATGTTGTGAGTATTCTGCATGTGGCCAAGACCAGAGAGATGGTCATTGATTGCAGGAGGGTGAGGACGTCTCCTCTACCCCTGTGCATTCTGGGAGAGGATGTGGCAGTTGTGGAGGACTACAAATACCTGGGAGTGCACTTAGACAATGGGCTGAACTGGAGGATCAACACTGACGCTGTGCACAAGAAGGGGCAGACTCTATTTTCTGAGGAAGCTGAGATCCTTCCACGTGTGCAGCAAGATGCTGGAGATCTTCTATCAGTCTGTGGTGGCTAGTGCACTCTTCTTTGCTGCGGTCTGCTGGGGGGGGCAGCATCAGAGCCGGTGACACCAGCAGGATCAATAAACTGATCAGGAAAGCTGGGTCAGTCATCGGCATCAAGCTGGACCCCTTTGAAGCTGTGGTGGAGAGGAGGACACTGAACAGGCTGTTGTCCATCATGGATAACCCCACCCATCTTCTCCACCTGCAGCTGGACAGTCAGCGGAGCTCCTTCTCCAACAGACTGCTGCAGCTCCCCTGCCATAACTCTGTACAACAAATCACTTCTGGCTGGAAGATAACTCTCTGCTCCATAGTTTATCTTGAATATAACCACGTTGTACATTTTACACATATATAATCTGTTCAATATTTAAAGGTGGGGTAGGTAAGTTTGAGAAACCGGCTCGAGATACACTTTTTGTTATATTCCATGGAATGCTCTTAACATCCCGATAGCAATGAATATCTTAAGTGCTTTGACAACAAATCCATAAAACAATTTCATCTGTGGAAGCTGTAGTACTGTAAAAAGCACGACCAATCATTTTAGCCGGCCCGGCTAAAATAACTGGATGGCCTACCTGCCTGTCAGCCTTCCATCTGTGCACAAACTTATCTCGTGCCCTCATTGGTCATGTGCGCGTTCGTGTGTGTTGGAGGAGGGGCTCTGTAAGGAAGTAGCAGATCTTTCCCGGCTGTGTATTTTCAAATTCTAGCGCACTCGAGCTGGTTTCTCCAAAATTACCTACCCCACCTTTAACATTAATATTCCATATGCCTTATATTTATGTATATGTATATTAGATATATATAATATCCTGCCAAACTCAACATGTATATTATTTTCCTCTTTCTTTATTTTCTTTATTTTTCTTATTTCCCTTATGCTGCTGTAACTAAAAATGTTTTCCCAAATTGGGATCAATAAAGTACCATCTTATCTTATCTTATCTTATTTGCATGTGGAATGTCACTAACAAATGAGAGCATCATATGGCTTGTCATATTAAATCCTTTATCTCGGTGGTACCCAGGAAGGTCTATGATGGTGTTACTAGGAGAGCCCAATATCATTTGAGGTGGTACTCTGTGTAAAAAGTTTGAGAACCACTGGCCATCTCACTTGCTCTATGTCACTCATACACTTGAATAAACATGTGCAAACATTGAAACTACACCCAGGGGTTGGCAACCTTTACAATCAAAATAGCCATTTTTGTCCAGAGCCTCAAAACATATTTCTGCCTTATAAGGGGACAAGCCTATTAAGATCAATTTCTTAAAAGTACGCTGAGTTGTGTTTTCTGTTGGAGAACGTAACATTTTTTTAGGAGAATAGAAACCACACCAAGTTGTTCTTCTTAATAATAATAATAGATTTATTTTGGGGGGCCGCCTTTCATAACACCCAAGGACACCTTACAGGGCATAGGGGCAATATAGGGAACAATTAAAACTGGATTTAGGGAGATATCAGCCGGGGTAAGACAAACAACAGTAAATGGACTACAGAAGGACACAAAAGGACACAGGGTACAGTTTATATTATTCTTGGGCTTTTTTCGACTACAAGAACTCAGCGCACCGTTCTGTGAAGTGGTAACGTATTTCAAAGGTTCTGGATTTGTTTACAAATCTAGAAACTAAATACAAAACTAGGACGATATGAAGATCTCATGACAAAAATAATTGTGATAAATGAGACAGAACTGGCCTGTCTGTGAGCTCATTTTATGTTGGTTTGGTTCTTCTGATAAAGGTGTGAATATCTAAATAATATACCACCATATGCTATTGTCATTAGTTGTGTCCCTGTTCTTCAAGCTAAGGCATTGCTAAATTAACAACTCTTGGCTTACAGAGTGGTAACATGAGACCGATTTTTATATATAAAATATAAATATATTTAAATTTTATAATTTATTTTAAATATTAACAATATAATAAAATAAATGGAAATATATACACCGGCAAATATTTAATATAAATACCTTGTGTGTGTGTATAGCTATTGCTTTATCTGCTTAATGTTATTTTCATATGAAAGTCCATGATTATAAGTATGCAGTATCATAACTACATCTTTGATGTTTATAAAAAACCAAACCGTTTGAAAATTGGTTGAAAATTGAGCAAGCTATGGTTATTTAAATAGTAAACCATAATGTTATGAATGAGAGCACGGCCTGTAGCAAGATGGCGGCCATGTGGCAACGTCGGTCTCCATTGGCCAGCAGCGCGGGTGAGTCATCTAGTGTTTATATATATCTATGTGTGTGAGTGTGTATGAGCACAACCACGGCGGAATATTACTGCCAAAAGTCACGTGACTCACTCACGTGACTTATTCCGCCGTGAGAAGAAAAAGTTTTGTACTTGTAAAAAACAGTGTTGTAGTTGTAAAAAAAATGTGTGTACTTGTAAAACCTATGCTGAATTTGTCTCTGAAACATGATTTATTAGAAAAATGGTGTGTGTTTATTTGATAGATACGTTTTTTCTTTAGCATTAGTTTGTAGATGGTGTTTTGTATTTGCAAACCACATTGTGTTTGTTAGTGAATCATGAGGCATTTGTAAAACCTGTTTAGTTTGTTTGTGGAGTTATGGCAGGAAATTAGCCACAGAGCTCTTCTTTTACTGTCCTTTCAGAGGAAGTACAGAAACACGTAACTCTGGATTTGTTTTAATGTTTGAGGTGCAATAAACGACACAGCAGCTTTTTGGAATGTTAAAATTATTATTTTCTGCCTCGCTCATGAGAGTAACAGCTGGAGAAATTACAGCCTCACCTACTGATTTTAATTTAACCATATATCGAGCCCGATTCTCGATTTCAAATGTGTGCTCTAAAATGATATTTATAAATGACTATTATCATTATTATAAGCAAGACAATAAATGGCAAAGATATGTAGAAAATAAACGTATTTAAGATACGTTCATAACAAACGTAACGTGGGAGAAAATATGTTTCTAGAAGATATGTAGAAAATAAACGTATTTAAGATACGTTCATAACAAACGTAACGTGGGAGAAAATATGTTTCTAGAAGATATGTAGAAAATAAACGTATTTAAGATACGTTCATAACAAACGTAACGTGGGAGAAAATATGTTTCTAGAAGATATGTAGAAAATAAACGTATTTAAGATACGTTCATAACAAACGTAACGTGGGAGAAAATATGTTTCTAGAAGATATGTAGAAAATAAACGTATTTGAGTTACGTTCATAACAAACGTAACGTGGGAGAAAATATGTTTCTAGAAGATATGTAGAAAATAAACGTATTTGAGATACGTTCATAACAAACGTAACGTGGGAGAAAATATGTTTCTAGAAGATATGTAGAAAATAAACGTATTTAAGATACGTTCATAACAAACGTAACGTGGGAGAAAACATGTTTCTAGAAGATATGTAGAAAATAAACGTATTTGAGATACGTTCATAACAAACGTAACGTGGGAGAAAATACGTTTCTAGCTAAACGTAATTGAGAATGCAGTTTAGTTCTGTGGGAACGTAATTTTTAGGAGACAGGGTTGTTTAAGGACATTTCGACCAGGGGTGTAGAGCTATATTTGTTTAAGCACCGGATTGGCAAAACAGGAGAGTGTGTGCACCAGTCTGCCTTGATCTATGAATTCATGTCCGTGACTCTCGCAGTATCTGCTGCCCACAGCTGTTTTATAGAAGGAAAACCTCCTTCACTTCATGAAATCTCTGCAGCACCAGGAGGCAGCGGGAGGGTTAACTCAGCCTCTGAGAAGAGGAGCGCGCAGTGCCTTTCACGCACCGCCTTCACTGTGTTTACCTTCAGAATCATTAGAAAGGATAAAGAGCGACCGCAGGCTGATGTGTTTTAACCACACACACCTCTACACACACACACACACACACACACACACACACACACACACACACACACACACACACACACACAGACTTTTGTTCCTCCATGTTTCGTTGTTATTGTTTCACTGAGCGGACCCGCACATTTTTTTCAAACGCTCCCTTTTTTGGTCCATCTGCGGCGGTAATAGGTTTTGTGCGCTGTGATGATTCGGCTGTACCTTTAGTAATGAATATTAAATGTTGTGAGGAAATCTTTCCACCAATAATTCCAATAAGTAATCCAAAATGTATTCACTTCAGGTTTACGAAAGTAACTGTAATCAGATTACTCGTTTTTCAAATGTAACGCGAGCTGAATACAGTTACTTGATTTTTGTATTCTGATTACGTAACGCTGTTACATGTATTCCGTTACAACCCAACCCTGTATATATGCAAGTTGCAACACACACACAGTAAAACTTTGCCCCTCATGTGTTGTATAGGCTGCATGACTAGGCTGTTCAATGGGGCTGATGTGTTGTGTAGATTCGCCAGAAGGAAAGGTTAAACTCCTTATGAAGTGGTGAGGTGCCGCAAATCAAGCAAGAACGTGATTGGTCGATATTCATTGTGGGGGTTGGGGGGAGGAGGGGTTTTAGATAGATATAGAGTTGTAGTAAGTAGATAGAGTTCGCTATGATTGAGGTTTCGTTTATGCATAGGGTAGATTCTTTTAATTACATTTCCTTTTTTGTTTTGTGTATTTTTTACATTTTGGATTTGCTTGGCGAGCTATTTTTAGAACATCTTATCCCTGAACGAATACATTTAATTTGGGCGCCAGACAGAGGAATTTTTAATATAGCCAGCTGTCAAAAAATGATATGCTTAAACACGCAGAAACAGAGGGATAGCCCGGTGACCTAGCTACTGAAGTTTACAAAGGAAAAATAATAATCAACCAATTCACTTTCAACATAAAATGTCTGTATTTTTTAACCCCAAATAATAATCAGTACATTAAACAAACAACTCATGTCACAGACCATTTACCAGAAAAACTTAAATCCAATAGATACATTAACACAAACAAATAAGTCAAATTAACTCACAAAACATCAATGCCTTATGTGACTCCGAGAGCCTACGATTGTTTACATCATGTGGATTGACTGTGAGTGAGTGTGGGGGGGAAAAAGTATTTGTTGTCCTTTGTCACTCAGGGTAAGAGTGTAGTTCAGGGGATAGGGATGTGTGAAAGTAAAGTTGTAAAGTTCTGTTTTTCCAGAGAATAACTTATCTGAGGGTGACAGGCCAGAGTAGATCACTGGATTGCAGGTTTTAACTGGGAAGTAGTGATGTTACGTATTGCGCCGAGGCTTCGGAGCGTGTTTCGAGTAATCCCTGAAGCTTTTTGTGAAGCTTGTATCGAGGCTTGTATCGTTTTGGGTCAGTGACGTCATCGATGACAAACGAAGCCTCGCTGCCTGTCGATACCACGTGACTGCTTCAGGAAGCGATTCAGATCGGTTGAACCGTTGAACCACAACGCTCATATTACCCACGGATGTATAATAAGAATGATATTACCCTTCCTGTACCCGGGTCCGCTGGTGACACGATGGAATTAAGAGAGCTCAGACCCTCACTTATATAGAGGTCGGAACATGTCATAAGTATAAATAAATACAAGCATAAATAAATATAGGAATAAAAACATAAATAAATAAATGAATAAATACAGGAATAAATATGCTGCAGTGTTTTCAGGGAGATTCAGTGTGTGTGCTGTGGCTCAGCTGGAAAGCAGTCGACTCAAGACCGCAGGGTCCCTGGTTCAACGACCTGTCAATAAGTCTTTTTTGTTGTTTATAATGTAGTTAATAAATGTAGTCTTTGATATGGTTTAGCCTTTCTCAGGCTACAACATGGTTAAGTTTACGAATATTATTAAGGAATATAAATCCCTCTTTGCAATGTTTACCAAAGGCCTTAGGCTTTTCAATCACAATCATTCAACTGGAATAAAAACAATATTGTTAACATGAACATATGATTTAATGTTTGTTGTTTAGAGTTATTCTAAGGCTTTACTCATTGGGAACTCGGTATGAGATAGAGCACACTGTTGAGATGTCCAATCTGCCTGTTTTACACACTTTGACCAACAGGGGGGTTTGTGTTCAGATGAAGCCCATGATG